GGAGGGCGGCACTGGACAGTCTGCAAAGGCACAGGAGACTCCCCTCTCAACTGTGTGTCCGTGCTACCTTCAGCCACGGGGAACGCACCCCTCTATGGCAGCACAGGGCAGGCCTTGGAGCATCTTCCCAACAGAGCCACATATCTGAGGTGCTGAGGAGTAGCTGAGTGAGATAGGTCCTCATCTGCCATTGCCCACCAGAGCTTTTCCCACATGTCCTTGGGGATTTGGAGGCGGATTCTCTGATTTCTGAATTCTACCTTTTAAAATTGTTTTGTTCCATTATGGAAACCAGTATGGAGATTCCTCAAAAACATTAAAAGTAGAACTACCAGATGAACTAGCTATATAAATCCTGGGTATTTACAAAGGAATCAAAATCAGCTACAATGGAGACACATGCCCACCTGTGTTTAGTGTGTCACTATTCACAAGGGCCAAGGTGTAGAACGAGTTTAGGTGTCGTGTCCATCAGTCGGTGAAGGGGCAAAGAAAATGTGCCCCCTGTGCTGTACAAAATGCAGCTTTTTAAAAAAATTTATTTTATGTGTATGAGTTTTGCTTGCATGTGTGTAAGTGCAACCATGTTGTGCAGTGCCTGTGGAGGTCAGAAGAGGATGCTGGATCTCCTGGAACTGGAGTTAGGCCAGTTGTTAGCTGCCATGCGAGTGCTGAGAATTGAACCTGGGTCTTCTGCAAGAGCAACCAGTGCTCTTAACCACTGAGCCATCTTTCCAGGCCCACAAAACGTGGTTTATTCAGCCATAAACAGGAAGGAATTATGTCACTTGTAGTAGTATGGATGGGCCTGACAATCATCATGTTCAGGAGAGTGGCGAGCTACTGAGCGTGGTGTGCTGAGAGGTCCTGGCCAGCTTGGGCTGGCATGTGTTGTGACGGTCACTCCCTTGTCCTTGTCTTGTTTCCTCCCTTGGCCCTGCACCAGCCCTTGAGGGTCTCCATGGCACCTTCTTCACTTACTAGGTGGAACTGGCCACCAGGGACATTTGCAGCACCCAGAGCTTAGCAGAGGCTACCCAGAGGCCTGGCTGGCCAGCAGGATTTGTGCTCAGGTTACTGGACCCATCCCAAAGCTACCCAGCTCCCACTGCCAGTCATGCCCTCAGTGTACACAGGTGTGATTACAGATGCTGGGAGACAGGCAAAGAGGCCTGGGGTACTGCTCAGCTCAAGGTATGTCAAAGCGGAGGTCCCAGAGGCCTGAAAGGTGTGTTCAGGGGCAGCTGGGCTGCAGGATGAGCCTGTCAGTATTATATGGCTCCCAAATACACTGTACAACAGGGACAGGACAAGACCCAGAGGAGGGATGCTGTGGTTGGCTCTGTGACTTGACTGTAGTGGGGCATGTGCCCTCTGTGCCCTGCACCAGCATCCCAGGCAGCCCCACTCCTGACCCTGGCTACTGCTTAGACTAAAGGGCACACGAATTGATGTGGACACTGTGGAAGGAGCAGGAGAGCCAGGCAACCTTCAGAGGAACTGGGTTCCCATTCTAGGAGCTCATTGTGATGGGTAGTCTTGGGTATCTACTTGACAGACCTAGGAGGAAGGAACCTCAGTTGAAGAGTTTCCCTGATCAGATTGTCTGTGGGACATTTTCTTTTTTCTTGTCTTTTTGAGACAGGGTCTCTCTGTAGCCCCAGCTGGCCTGGAACTTGCTATGTAGACCAGGCTGATCTCAAACTCACAGAGATCCACCTGCCTCTGCCTCCCGAGTGCTGGGACTAAAGGTGTGCGCTGCCATGCCTGGCACTTTTTATTTTTTTGTCTGTGGGGCATTTTCTTGATTGCTAATTGACATAGGAGGGCCCAGCCTACTGTGAGCAATACTGTCCCTATGCAGGCGGGTCTGAGCTGGGTAAGAAAGGTGAGCCTGGAGCCATCCAGTAAGCAGCTTCAGCTCCTACCTCCAACCTTCCCTCGATGATAGACTGTGACATGTAAGATGAAACAAACCCTTTCCTCCCTGTGAATGTCCCCTGCAGGCTCCAAGTATCTGAACATTGTTGGTGGCACTGTTGGGGAGGGTTGTGAAACCTTTAGGAGGTGTGGTCTTGTGGAAGGAAGTACATCACTGTGGGGGTGGGCTTTGAGAGTGATATAGCTTGTCCACTTCCATTCTGTCCCTCTCTGCTTCTTGCACCTGTTTGAAAATGCGAGTGCTCAGCTTCCTATACTGGCTGCATCCTGCCATGCCTCCCACCATGATGGTCTCTTTTTTAAAAAATATTTTATTTATCATTTTTGTTTTATGCGTATGGGTGTATTGCCTGCATGCATGTGAGTGCACCCGTGTTCTGCAATACCTCGAAGGTCAGAAGAGGGCTTCGGATTCCCCTGGAACTGGAGTTAAAGATGGTTCGTAGCCTCCATGTGGGTGCTGGGATTCGAACCCAGGTCCTCTGCAAGAGCAGTCAGTGCCCTTAACCACTGAGCCGTCTCTCCAGCCCCCACGATGGTCTCTTATTCCTCTGGAATGTAAACCCAATAAACTCTTCCTTCTATAAGTTGCCTTGGTCATGATGTTTTATCACAGCAACAGAAAAGTAACTAATACACTTCCCAAGTTGTTTCTGGTCTTGTTTCTTATCACAGCAACACCCAAGGTTGTTTTCTGGCCTCCACACACGTGTGCACACAAGTACACCACGTGCACGTGAATATGTGCACACACACACTAGACTTTAGGCTTTGTTTTGGTTCATTGTCTAAGGAGCCACTGGCTAAATGGGTGCAAGCCAAGCTCTCCAGACCCCGGGTTCTCATGAGACAGTGATGCTCCAGAGGAAGTGATAAGATTTCTGATAGAAATTAAGGGGAAGTGTCCCCAGAAAGGCATCTGAAGTGCATCTTGGGGATGAAGATTTGTGAAAAGCAGACCATGGGGAAAGCCTCTTAGGTGGGTGGTTGCTGTGTTAACTGAGAAGGAAAAGCTAAACTCAAAACAGTCATGGAGCTTTTCCAGGCTCTGCCCAAGGACTCTGGACAAGCCCTTCTCAGGCCACCCCTTTCTGAACCCTCCTGTTATACCAGGTCCCTTACTAGTTGCTGCTGTTAACAGAGGCCTCCTGAGTGACAGGCAGTCCCTTGTGTGTGGGTATCTCTTTTGGATCCTCTGCTACCCTGTAGAGACCTGCCCAAGTGTACATGGCTCACCCATTCCCTGGAGCAATGCCTTGCATCCCCTCAGTGCACACTGAATGCTCGCTGTTGCTTTAGAGACTGGACTTTCCTAGGAATCTTTCACACAGGAGAGAAACAAGAACAGTTCTGGAGCCCCAGGAGCTCAGTACTCCCTCCCTGTTTGCTTACAAGAACATGCACTCCCAGCTACTTAGGAGGCTGAAGCAGGAGATCATAAGTTCAGGGCCTGCCTGGGCAACTTAGTAAGACCCCCATCTCCAAAACAAATAGCTGAGGATATAACTCAGTGGTAGGCCATTAGCCCAGAGTATTTGAGGCCCTGGGTTTGATTCCCGACTGCCCACTTAGCTTTCCTGCTCTGTCAGACTACCCAGGCCATGGCCTGTGTTGTTCACCTAGGAAGTAGGTGGCTACAGAAAACACAGAGGGGGCTACTGAAGATTGTCACTAAAGCCCAAATCAGTGGACAGTGGGCAGAAGCTACAAAATGTGCTTGGCTATCTCTACCATAGGGGCCACTCTGGCCCTTCAGTGGGTATCGCTTGACTCAGTACCAGCCAAGGACTACTTGAATACCTGTCTTGATAGTTTAAGGACTATGTGGTCAATGAAATTATCCTGGACTTCCATAGAAAGCCAATGACATTTGCAGAGCAGAGATTACAGAAGTGACTCTTTGGTGTGTGCCCCTTCTCCCTGGCTGTTCAAACACCAGTTTCCAGGGCTGTCCACTCTACTGGCCAGCAAAGGCATCGAGTGGAGCTGGGGATGTGGTTCAGTGGTAGAAACTTCCGTGTATGCCTAGGGTCTCAATCCCTAGCACCCCAGCTTGGTCTCAACTCTATCATCTGTGGTAAATATTCCATACACAAGGGCCCCAGTGTGTGTGTGTGTGTGTGTGTGTGTGTGTGTGTGTGTGTGTGTGTGTGTGTTTTCTGCTGAAGGTAGGTAAGATGTGTAGAGTGCTGGAATCCCTTGAGGGGACATTTACTGACTGCGAGTAAACAGGAGAACTATCAGTTCAAACACTCTGAGACGGGCCCCCCACACTCCCTTTTGGCACCTTTCAAACACAACAGTGTGTTAGAAGGGACAGGCCACAAAGCGCCCGACAGTAATTGATAAGGACGGTAAACTCCCGCTGCATAATATCGACTGGGAGCCGCTGACCTCCAGGCTGTGGCTGAGAGTTCTGAAACGCGATCTCGGTAGCTGTAGTTATAATTGTTTTATGTCACACTGACCCGGAGTGTTTACGATTTTTAACAACTGCCTGAAAGAAAAAAGTCCAGTAACATCTGTTGAGAGTTTAATTGTGAGTGTAAAAAAAAAAAATCATTAAAGAACGGTCAAGGGATCAATTTCTATTCTGTCTCAACACCAGGGCGGTCATCAGGCAGCGGGGACTCAGGCGACAGGACTAATTTAGTCTCCCAAATCCCAGCGCTGGGAGCAGAGACTGGAGAGGATAAAGGTAATTTAGCTGAAATAGGAGCAAGGCGCAGGAGGGTGGGGGTGGGGGACCCAAGGCGCAAAGATGTGACAGCCAGGGGAAGCAGGACCCGCATCTCTCCAAGCATCCACGCTGGGCTGCGCGCGCCACGCAGGGTGTGCACCTGGATCTCGGCTGGGGAGCTCGCAGGACATCGCGGACGCCCAGCTCCCAGAGTTTGCACTCCGCTCCGCCGCCACTTTTGTTCCCCGAGCCGAGCCCGGCGGGGCGGCAGTGCGCACGCGCAGCCGGGGCGGGGCGGGATGCAGGTCCCGGCGCCGCCCCCTGCCGCCCCGGCCCGCTCCATCCGGGCACTGCCGAATTAGCATCGTGCCGAGGCACAACTTTGCCGCGGCCCCAGCGAGATCCAGGCGCGCGCCGGAGGAAATATAGTCCCTGCCGGCGGTCTGCTGGCGCGGGTGGCAAAGGGGACCGCGCAGGGGCTGCGCGGGGCTCCCGGCTCCGGGGGGACCATGCTCCCGGCAACGCCGGCAGCCCGGGGACCCGGCGCAACTTAGCGGGCAGCCGGAGGAGTTGGGGGCGACCACGGGCTCGGCGCCCGGTCGCCTTTCTTCACCCTCCCCAGCCCCTTTCCCCATCTGCCGTGCAGGAGGGGACCCGTGTCCCCCCTTCCCTGGAGGCCCGATCCACCCTATCCGGGACACACAACTTCCAGGGAGCCCGGGCCAAAGTGAGCGCAAAGTACAGCCCAAGTTCCTGCGATGGAGCTGCAGAGCCGGCCCGAGGCGCTCGCCGTTGAACTCTCGCGCCACCAGGTAGGTGGCCGGGGGGAGGCGGGGAGGTACGGGCAGGGAATGGAGGCTGGAGGGACCCGAGCCTGGAGTCCTCTGGCTTGGGTGCCGGGTCTCCGACTGGAGTGAGGGGAGCAAGCCCCGCTCCTAGAGCCTGCTCCCGGGGGCTCCGTTGCGCGCTCAGCACCGGCCCCTAGGGGCTCCCTCCCCACCCCGCTCTCGGGCGATCCTGCACTGTTTGGAGTCCAGGGCGCAGGGGACCAGAGCCCGGCGTCCTCTCGAACTCGGGCTGCAGAACACCGGCACCGGGAAAGGGGGTTCCCCTCCTAGAGCCGCCCTGGGGAGCGGGGGTGCTTGGGCAGGCCCCCTCTCGACCTCCCCCCGCCGGGTCCAACCCCGCACCGACCCGCGCTGTTCGCAAAAGTAGTTTTGGCGATAGTCGCTCGGGAGAGCTGCGGCCGGTGCCCGAGCGCTATTGCGGCGTGCGCGCGTGTGTGTGTTGAGGAGATTAGGACGCGACTTGAATATTTATGAGCTTTGCTCGACACGGACTCGCCGTGTTTACTTGGTTCTTTGTTCGTCCCCCCTCCCCCGGCACACACTCCACACTCACTCGCACCCCGGCCTGCAAACTTGCACGGCTCGGGGCGCGCCGCCGGGTGGCCTCGGCCCCCGCCCCGCCCCGCGAGGTGCCCCGATGCGGCGGCAGCCACAGGTAAGCGGCCCCGCGCGGCACTGCCCGGCCGCTGCGAGTGCGGGATGCGGCCCGGGAAACTTGGGGCGCTCAGCGGCTGGCCTGGCCGGGTGGCACCGGGTGGCGGGTGCTCGGCCCGCGGGGCTCCAGGGCGCAGCGAGCCCCCCCCCCCCCACGGCTGAGCGCGCTCCTCCCGTGTCTCCGCAGAACGGCGACCTCAAGAAACAGCTCTACGAAAAGCAGCCGCGGATCGCATCGCTCAGCGACAAACAAGTAAGGAGGGGGCTTGACCCCCACCGGGCCGGCCAGGGTCGCCAGGCACTTTGGCAGCACCCGGAAAAGTGCCAGCGCGGGCGCCACACGCACCGACTCCCTCGGGGGCCTGGCTCCGGCCCTCAAAGTTGCCGCCACCCCTTTCTGGAAAGAAAGCCGGTTGGCGGCGGTCGAGGGGGAGCGCGAGGCCCCCGGCGGCGGCGGCGACGGAGAGAGCCTGGCCGTACCTCCCAGGCGCCGGCTACCCGGCGTCCATCTTGAGCCGTGGACATGGTTTTGGAACATGGACATTCCCCAGCCTCGGCGCCCCCTGGTCCACGCCGAGGTGGGAGGGGGCCCGCAGGGGAGCTGAAATTTGGGCCTGCACCCCAAACTCCTTGGAAGCCATTTCTGCGTGCCACGGCGGACTGGGTTTTGGAAACCCTTCCCCTGGCTGGCGCCCTCTCCACCCCGCCGGCTTCACTTTTGATTCTCGGAACCTGAAGCCAGCTACCCGGGAACAAAAGAAAGGCGCCCCCGGGACCCCCCGGTTCTGCTCCAACTTTGGTGTCTGGGCATGAATAGGTAGCTGGAGGTCCTGCGAGAAGCTCCCGGGGTGGGGGGCGCGCCTGCCGACCCCCCTCGCCACCCTCTCGCCAACCAAAAGTTGTCCATTGTGAGTTAGTTGCGCTGAGCTCAGCGCTCCCGGGTTCAGCACCACGAACAGATGCCGCCGCCGGAGCCCGGCCGGCCGCGCGCCCCTCCCCCTCCCTGCCACCCCTTCCCCCTCTCCGC